TCCACATGGTGCGGCAGACCTCTCCTGACCCGCCCGCTGCTCCCCTCAGCAATGTACTTCGTCGATCTGCCCGTTCTGTACCCCACTCTGTCTCTGGTGAAGCCTCTCACCCTCCGCATCTCTGACCTGTACCCCAGTTCTGTATGAATAAATAAATCTTTTTAAAAAAATTTAAAAGTAAATAAATAAATTAAGCCTATTTAAAAAATACCATCTATCATATCAAGAAGCAGAAAAATATGACCCATAATCAGCAGAAAGCGATCCCTTAGTGGACCTAGATCCAGAAATTACAGAGATAATAGAATTAGCCTACAAGGACCTTATAACGGTTATTTAAATATGTAACCATGCTAAAAGTAAAAGAAAACATGGCTATAATGAGAGGAGAAGTGGATCTAATGGGAGAAAAAATCCAATGGGATGTCTAAATGAAAATACAACAAATAAAACAAAAAAATCTGGAAAAAATATTTCACAAAGATAACATATTTTTGTAAGAACACATTCAAATATAATACTAATATTAATCACTAAAGGACTAGGGACAAGTTAGGAAATAGAAATAAGAAAAATACATTAATTAAATTTTTAAAAAGAAGAACTTGAAGCAGATGTGTTATGATGGATTCTGTGAAATTAAGAATATGATTAGCTTAATCATATTTAAGGAATAAAGTTAAAAATAAACTTAAAAAGAAAAGTGAGGCCCTCCCTGGCTAAGCAATGGGTTAAAGCACAACACTGCAACAGAGCTGCAGCCGCTTCAGTGGGAGTTGGATCCCCAATCCTGGAGGTGATCCACGTGGCACAGCAGACCTCTCCTGGCTGGCCCACTGCTCCCCTCAGTAGTGTACTTTATCAGTCTGCCTGTTCTGCTCTCCATTTCATCTCTGATAAATTCTCTCACCACCCCTGCACCTCGGGCCTGCACCCCAGTTCTGTATGCATAAGTACATCTTAAAAAAAAAAAGAAATTAATTGAAAATACTCCTTTAAACTATAAAAGCAAATAAAGATTTTTTTTAAAAGAAGAAAAGTGATAGGGAGAGTGGGGAACTGAAGTTTGGAAGGTGGCTAGAAACACCTTTTGAGCAAGACCCAGCCAGATAACTAGAGCCCAAGAGGCAGAAATTGAAACAGTGTCTGAGCAAAAGCTGTCACTTATTATAAAACTAACCTTGTGCCAGGGGTCTTTCTAAGCATTTGCTATACATTAACCCACAATCCAATGAAGGAACATTCTGTACAATCCTTGATATCTCATAAATCAATGAAGACTAATGGTAGATTTGTGTTTAAGCCAGAGCACTTCCCAAAAGTAGTTTGGACTAGAATCTAAAGAAAGTTTGAAGCAAAATAGCACACTAGCCTTGGCTGAGTTTCTTTATTTGAGAACTAAGGGATCAGTAAAAACAAAACGTGTTTCGAAATGAAGATAATGAGAAACTTAACAGAGGGCACTCTGCAACTGAGTGAGAAAACTCTTAGAAGACATCTAGCTCAGGGGTGTTAAAAAAAGTTTGAAGCAGAGGACATAAACCAAAGCCTAAATGGGATCAAATACATAAAATACTATACGTGGTAGTTTGGAGGAGAATACCCAGCCCAGAGCCGTCAGCCTCCGCATCTCTCACACCACTTCTCACACCTTTCCCGTGATGGCTCTAGGCACAGTGCCCTACTTTAGGGAGGAGAGGATCACTCTGTACACCCGCTCACCGTCACATCTGTCTTCCACCCCTAAGCCTGTCAGTGCTGCTTCTGCCCCCGCTCCCATCTCATATGGTTGTGGGCAGGTACAGACTGGGGACATTCCTAGGATGCCTGATTTATTTTTTCACACAACTTCATTGAGATATCATTTACATACCATAAAAAGTGTACGTTTCACTGGTTTGTAACATTAACAGGTAGAGCCACAACTCCTTCTCTCTAACCCCAGAATATTTTCATCATCTCAAAAGAAAACTAATAAGCACTTAGTTCTCATTCTCCCCCTTCCCAGCCCCAGACAACCACAATCTCCTCTCCGTCTCTATGAATTTGCCTTTTCTAGGCATTTCACATCTATGGAATCATAGATTAGGTGACTTTTTTAATGCCTGACTTTGGGGAGAATTTTTAGTCAACAGAACTTTACCATCTCCTTTGTTTCCTGGCTATTGTAGAAGGCAACCAGGCTACTTCACAGACCTCAATCAAGGGCTCAAGAGCCCAACTTTGTCACTGGACCAGATGGCTGGAACAGGAAAAGCCTGAAGACCGAGAGTTACAGGGCAGCCAATTCTGAGCACAGGAAGGGTGGGCCAGGAATTTCTCTAAAATTCCCAGAGTTAACAGCCAATAAAATGGATGTGAAGGAGCTGGTCTAAAACAGTATAATCTTATCCTTGATGCATATAAAGTATCCTTTTTTTGTGATTTTTCTTCAGGAAGTTGAGATCAATATGTTTGAAGCATATGAAAGATAACACTGAGTGACAGAGGGGAGAATGCACTTCTGAGTCAGACAAGAGTTACTTGGCCACTTTAAAGCTCGGTCTTCTCATCTGTAAGACATTAAGGATTTCTACTTTGCAGATAGTGAGGCTTAGAAAGAAAACGCCCAGCATGTGCCTGAAGGGGCAGCTGAATAAATGGCAACTCCTAACAAGGTCCCGTGAAGCAGTATTTCCTAATGGGTTAGAGCTTGGTCATAGAGTCAGCCAGACCTACATCTGAGGCTGGCTTTGCCCCTCAGTTTCCTCTGAAAAATGAAGCTGAAGAATCTACCTCGTAAGGTCATGTGGAAGGTCCACTGAGACAACACTAGGACTCCCAGGAGGCTGGCACCTCCAGCCTTTTTGACAGCCTTTTGAAGTAGGTACCATTAGTTTCCCCATCATACATCTGAGGAAACTGAGGCACAAAGTAAGTGACTTACCCAAGACAATTCAGCCAATTAATGGTAAAGCTGGTATTTGAACCCAAGCAGTCTACATCCAGAATTCACAGTCACCATTGCTGTAGCTTGTCAAGGTTCAGTTCAGCATAATGCCTGGCACCTCATAAGTCCCCAGTAACTGTCAGCTGTTGTGATTATTATAGGAGCACCAATCACAACAATAGCAAACAATTTGTTCCCCAGCTGTATTGGGTTAAGAATTTTTACTAAATCCTTAGCGTTAGTGGAGAGGAGAGGCTGGGTTCTACCCATCTTTGTATTCAAGAGTACTGGTAGCTTTTTTTTTTCTCCTCTTTCTGTTAAGAAGTACTAATTTTAAAAAGATTTTTTTTAATCGAAACAAGAGTCCTAGTAGCATAGAGCCGAGTGTAGAATAAGAACTCCATATGTGTTGAATGAAAGAATGAGTTTTCAAACTGATATCTCTATTAATATACAACTGGGTGGCCTTTTCAGGTGGCTACTCATTAAGCCACAGTTGAACCAGGCCACATTTGACCCAAATTGCCCAACCCTTTGCTTCCCAGTTCACTAAAGGGCCACAGTTCTCATAAACATTTTAATTGTTCTGCTCCAGTTGCATAATCTCCCTTCACTGGTTCCACCTGTCATCACCCAGTTCCAGAAAACCACACCCACAACCCTGACCCTCTCCCATTACACACACACACACACACATATACACACACACAGCCCATCAGATGCTAGGCTTCCTCCCACACAGGAAGTTTCCCTCTATATCATGCATAAGATCAACCCATTCTCTGCCTGTCAATCTTGCACCTGCTCCCTGGATGACCCAGTCTTCCCAGTTGACCCAAATCTCTATGACTCTGAGTATTAAAGCTATTGAATTTCTAGATTCTTACCCCTGGGCAACCATGCTGTCCAACTTGAGAAGGAGCTCTACAGGTACAGAGGAGGGGTAGCTCAAGACTGTTGACAGAAACTTCCTTGTGCTCCTGGACAAAGGCTTGGCCTTACTGCCTGGTACCCTTGCAGAACCCAGAGATGGGTTCAGCACACACATGTACCAGGCATTATCAGATGGGGGTTGACTATACAAAAGATCTGAGTTCTTAGTAAGCAACAAGTTGGAGACAGATCTGATCTCCCTGGATTGGACTAAGGAATCCCGTAAGCAAAAGCCATACTTTGCCTGTTTCCCCAGCTAACAAGAATAATAATTCCCTGATGTGACTCAAGTCAGGTATATGGGTATGTATGCCAAATTGCTGAGAGCCAGCCTAAGCATGAGGCCTAAGCAGGGTGGGAGGGTAAAAAGCAGGAGCAAGTTTGGCCCGGGTGAGGCAGTTCTCTTGCTACCTCCAGTATGTGACTCATTTCCAGGTATACATACCCCTCCCTCAGCCTCTGCTTATTCCTTTTACCACATTCAAGTCAACTTCAGTTTGCCATGTTTCCTCCCTAAGTTTTTTTTTCTTTCTTTTAGCTTTCTTCTACTAATGCACCATCCACTTCCTACTTGAGAAGCTGATCTCTATTTTCCTTCATGTCCTAACTCCCTGACTTGGATTACACTTTCAGACCCTGTGAACTTGTAACAACTCCATACTGCAGATCATTTTACTTTGGCTGCCATCTTTATCTGGCCACATTGCCCAAACTACTGCTCAGACACATACCAGCCCTCCCCCCACCAGCCCCATCTTCATTAAGCCTATTCCTCATGTTCAAAAAGCCACCAATCTGTTTGCAAGTTTTCCAGTTACCTGACTTCTCCCTTCATTCCTGCTTGGACCTAGATAGTTTCCAACTATATTCCCAGGAATATTCTTTCAGGTTTCCCAAGCTCAAGAGAAGGACCCTGGTCCCCAGGAAATGTTTGAATTCTACCTCAGAACCATCCTCTGAGAATAAACCTAGCTATATGAAGTTTGGAATCAGTGATGAGACATTTTTATTGGAAAGGGCTTCCTTTCAAATGTCCCTTGGTAGAAACCATTAGAGACTAGAAAAACAATGGTTCAGAGGGCTAATACATGAATCATGACACATTTTGGGCTTTCCAGGGGGCCCTTTCATTCCCTACCTGTGCACATGACAGCAGCAAAGACCCAGCACTGCCCATAGCTCACTGGCTGGCAGCCTGTGGCATGCCACTGTTTCAGGATGGCCACGCTACCGGTCCACTCTGCAGGGTTGATGCCATCTGAGTAATTTTCACTCCAGTTTCCATTGAGTACCCCATTGTCATCATTACTATTGATCTGAAGAGAAGTCATATATAGAAGCATTAGAAGCATCCTCTTCCTTGATGTGTGGGCAACTTTGCAAGGCCCATGGGCCTCAGACACAGTGGGGACCTTGATCTCATTTTACCTGATAATTTGCAGACTTTCTAGGGAAAGGATGGGGTGGGGAGCAGGCTATTCTGACTTGTGCTCCACTGTTAATTATTTATTATCCTGATTCAACTCACCCCTTTCTCCCCTCCCTTCTTCCTTCCCACCCCCTGTAAAGCTAGTGCTTGGCTCCAAGAGCTTCTAAAAATACTTCAGAGCAAAGGAAATTTGGAAACAAGATCATTTCTAAAACCAGAGCTATACTTAACCTTTCCAAAAGCAGGCAATTTAGAATTAATCAAGATGATGGCCCACACCCAGCTAGCTCAGAGCTCAGTTGAGAAAACCTGTTATCCATGTTCTATCACCAGTCTCATCCTAAGCCACACTGTCAGAGAGCCGCTCTCTCGGCTCTTTACTGTCTTGCTGAAGGGGGCAACTTGTGAGTGGGTAAGGCTCCCTCTGCACAGCATCCTCCCTCCATGGACACCCCTGGGACCTCACCATGGCACACACCACTCTGCTGATGTAGACAGGGCTTCCCCTCAGGGCACAGTCTATGGCTGGGTCAATCTGGAAATACAGGCTCTTGTCTAGCAGCTCCAGGCAGATGTCAATGATGTTCTCTTCAAACTGCAAGGGGAGATGCAGAGAGTAAAAGTTCAACACAAGTATGCAAAGAAATACATTGGTCGGCCACAACCAGTGTTTTTTCACTCATTTGGAAGGACACTGTGTCCAGCAGCATGGCCATGAACTGCCTCCTGGGTAGCTATGCGCTGGGGTTACAGCTCGCCCAGTTTGGATGTGCATTTTAAATCCCTTCCATTTTAAAATGGCTGTTGCTGCTGCTGGAGTTTCTTCAGCTGAGTCTGACTGGTTGAAAACTATTTCTCCCTCTTCTCCCTTCAGTCCCACACTCCTGGAGTCCTGGGGATGCCCAGGCCAGAAACACATCGCCTCATGTTCCAATATCACCTGCTTACCCAGCTCATCATTGGCAGACTGCTGAGGTGCTGGTGCCGACTTGCACGGCACCCATGACTCAGGGGCTCTGGACTGACTAATAGCATGTGTGGTATGGAAACTTCCCGCCCAAGGCAGGCTGACTCCTTGTCCTTCAGTCTTGTTGTGAATGCCAGTTCCTCTGAGGCCTTTCCTGAGCCCAAGTCTGGCATAGCTCAGGAACCTGGACTGGCTGTCTTCCTACTCTTCAGATTATGTGACAGTGAGGGAGCTAAGATTGGTCTTCCCTGCCTGAGTATATATTCTGTCTCTCTTCAGCTCTTCCCACATGTCTCCACTCCATACTTGGCACAGTGTCCAGAACAGACTGGGACTCCATGCATCTTTGTTGTATGAGGGTAAATAAATGCATTTGCACGCATGTAGTACTAGGCAATAAACAGGAAAGGAGGCTTCTCTGATCCATCTTCCCCTGGGGACAATTTGATCAGTTTACTTTAATGCTTTAAAATGTTCAAAGGGGGCCCCTCCCTGGTGGTGCAGTGGGTTAAAGCACAGAGCTAAGAAACTAAAGCCACTTCTGCATGAGTTCGATCCCTAGCCCCAGAGGTGACCACATGGCGTGGCAGACCTCTCCTGACCCGCCTGCTGCTCCCCTCAGCAGTGTACTTGGTCAATCTGCCTGTTCTATTCCCCGCTCTGTCTCTGGTGAATCCTTTCACTGCCCCTGCATCTCTGGCCTGTACCCCAGTTCTGTATGCATAAATAAATAAATCTTTTTAAAAAATGTTCAAAGGTCCCTACACCCCACAGAATCACTCAAGACCTGACCCTCCCTGACTTGGCCCCCTTCTACTTCAACTTCATGTACCAGTTAATTAGCGGTCAAACAGCCCTAGGGGGGCTCCACGACCTACTAGCATAGTCCCCGGCCCCCGCAGCCTGCTTGGGAATGCTTAATAAGTGGTCCAACAGCCATAGGCTGAACCCAAGACCAACCACCATAGTCGCAGGACGACCCAGCCAGTTGGGCATCACTTATTCTGTGGCCTAAAAATCGGCAATGTGGTCCCAGGCCCGCATTTTTGCTCCAGCAACATCAGATTCCTTGTAATCCCGGCATTAGGGTAAGCTCTTTTCTTACCTCTGTGTCTTTGTCACGCTTCCCTTTGCCTGAGATATTTTCCCACCATTCTTAACTTAGATAGCTCAGTTTAAGCATCTCTTCAAGGAAGAAGTCTGGGCTCCCAGGCTTCTTGAGCCTGCCTGTCCATCTTTTTTACAAATCTCTTTGTGGGATAAATGATCTGCTTGTGTATCTGAGTCCCCATTACACTATGGACTCCCGGCAATGCTTTATTCATTTTCTTAGCTCAGTGTTTATTGTCCTGAATTACATGGACATAAATACGTAGTGCCCAGGCCTTCAGTATGTGTTCAGTAAATAAAAGAGAAAGGGAAGGACCCAAGGCTCAGAAAGCAGCAATTTTTTTTCTCTGTTTCTGAAAGATGTTGAAAAACTCTTCACAGATTTGACAGAATTCCCATCTGCCTTATGCTGAGAGAGGAGTTGGGAATATCTGTTGGTGCCAGTTGAAGCTTCCATGTCTCATTTTGATTATAAATACCCCAGTGGTTTAGGCTGGCCCTGAAGACCTTGTGTGTTTGAGTTCTACTTAGGCAAGTGGAGAAGAGGAACCCATTTCAAACACACAAAGCTCCGCAAGCGCCCCCAGGACTCTAACTGACAGTCCTTCTGAGCAGCCAGGTAGCTCTTCTCCCTGACAGTGTTCCTAATACTGGGTTTCAGCCTGAAGAACCCTTTTCCCTGACCGGATACTGAACTTCCTGGAGCACCTGCCCTAAACTGAGCTTTAAGTAGAATATATTTAATAAAAAAAATACAGTGCTTGGGGTGATGTTCATGTTTTAGGTATCCATTTTTAAAGTGTTCCTTGTAAAATTTTAAAAATGTACTTGTGTTACTTTTATAATAGAAAAGTTATACAACCAAAACTAACAAAAAATAAGATAAAGAGGCAATAGAGGTAATAGGGAAAGTATGTTGCTGTTCATGAGCCCCGCTTCCAGCTGAGGTGTTTAGGGGACATACTTTCCCCAGTGTGGCACATCTGATCCTAGAGTCTGCTGCCTGGTGTCAGGAGGATGAACTAAGAGAGTGTGAACTGGGTCCCCACCAGAAGCAGATTATCAAGCAGATTATCATTGCTTCTCATTTCTCTCCACTCCCAGCATAAATCTGCTTCTCCAGCCAATCTGTCCCCAAGCAAATGGCAGCCCTACCCATACATGTGTTTTGATCTTTCTATAGCCCAATTACAATAAAGAGTAACTAGCCCTTTATCCTCACATTTATACTTGATAGATATCTCGAGGGAAGGCTTTTAGCTGTCCTCCTATAATACCCCATTGTCCAAATCTGTTATGATCAGCAAAGAACCCTTCCAACTTCCTCTTTCCTCAGCTCCCTGGTGTCTCTTCTCACATGGTCCTGAAACAATTTAGTTACTCTCAGTTGTTCTTGGTGAACTACACCCAGGGGCATCCTCTTCCCCTGCTTCTGCTCCCCTACCCACATGAGCCCAGGGCCCGAGGGGCCGGGGAGTAGGGCTGAGACTCACCTGTCCATAGTTCCAGGGGCAAGGGCGGATCCAATTCTTGTTCCCTTGGTAGATGAAGCCATAATCGTTCACAACATACTCCTGTCTCTGGGGCTCGCTATCCAAGTAAACAGCATCCCCTAGGAGTCAAAGTGGGAGACACAAAGCAGAAAAGCCATCCTGCCTTTCCTGCTCCATTCTCTTGCTCAGAAGGCACAGACCCATAGAAACTGAGTTCTGAGAAGGACAAAGAGGGGCACCAAACCCCAACACCAGCTATAGGCTCAACATGAACATGAGGTAAAGTCAAACACACAAATTCCCTTTGGGGAATTTCTTGATTTGCAAAGCAGACTTATATCCTAGTCACATTTTAAGGATGATAAATATCTTAAAACAGGCACAAAGTGGTAAGTACCTTGCCCAAATCACACGGTAAGTACAGAGTAAGATTTGAACGAACAATTCATGTGACTCCATATTCCCTGCTCTTTCTTCCATACTCAAATAATCCCAGATGGAAAAGAGCAAACTTGGGAGTTGACATTCACCTCATCATTCCTTTTGTAGGAAGTTAGTCTAAGGAAAGTATTTAGGAAGGACTGAGGCTATTTGTCTGAGCTGTTTATATGTCTGAGCTGTTTATAACACTGAAAAGCTGAAAGGAACTATATTCCCTACCACAGAAACTTGTGCACTATTATTAATGGTAAAGTGCAAAATTTTGTATCTATAGATATGGAAATCTACATGTGATACATTAATTTTAAATAAGTTACATAATAGTGAGTTAATTCATAATCTGATTTGACTTTTATTAAAAATGTATGTATATAAGAACAGATTTTGAAGTTTATTCTTAAAAAAAATGTTAATAGTAATTGGTGCTTTTTTTTCTTCTTGCCTATTGGCATTCTCTAGATTTTCTGGTATGAACTTGTATTGCTTTTATGATATAAATTATATCTTTTCAAGCTAAAATAAGCAAAAGGCCATTGGGGAAGGTGCCTTCTTTGTAGTAGTCTGGAAATCTTGCCTGACCTGAGCTGAAGATGCTCTCCACCTTTCCTTACGGGCAACCCTAGACATAGCCTGTAGGACATTAGTGGGTGGAGGTTAAAATGCTAAGATACATTTTTACTGAGGTTTTGTACCAGTGTGATTGGGGTTACATGTTCCTGGTTGAGACTACCCACTCCCTTCCTCACAGAAGCCAGCAGTGACCTGAGCTATATGGGGTACTCCCGAGAAAATATCCTGGATGGGGCAAATGCTGGTCCTGAATTTACGACTGCTACACCTACCCCCCATATTGGGTTTCTCTAGAACCTAGGTGGATACAAACCTCGAAAGAGAAGGCCCCACAAGTAGCACTTTGCTTTCTACATCTCAGAAGAGCCCTTAAGTACCTGTCTAAATCCCAGTCTTAGAGACCAAGTGTGTGTGTGTGTGTGTGTGTGTGCGTGCGCGCGCGCGTGTGTGTGTAAAAGAGACAGAGAGAAGACAGACAGCTGTCCTTCCTGATCCAGTGGTAGGGCATCATCACCTGGCTGATGGGTAAGCGTGCTGAACATTCAGTGACAGGTCAGTGGGAGGCTGTTAGAGAGCTGGTAAATCAACCAGGGTTCTAGGTTCTGGAACAACAGCAGTCCCGTTGGGCTTGGTTGGGAAAGAAGCTAGCTTGGGGATAAAGTTGGGGCAGTAGGTAGAATGATAAAGAGGAGAAGGACATCCTCTAAGTCAGAAGTGACATGGTTGAATCTGGCCTTTTCCCAAAAGCCCACCAGACCTATTCTCTACTTCTTCCTGCTCCTCTTCCTACTCTCTCCTCCTACTTGTGCTTTATTTTGCCCACACCATGTCTTAATGCCTCTGTTACTGTCTCTGACTTCAGAGTTGGCATAGAGGAAAGATACTGTGGGGCGTATGGGATAGTCACTGTTTAATACAATATTGGTAACATTCAAAATACCTATAAATAGGGAACTATTTAAAAACGTTCGCTATATCCAAACAGTAGAATAAAGTATAGTTGTTAAAAAGAATTTACTGATAAGAAAATATGTTGAAAGTTGAACTGTTAAATGAAAAAAAGCAAGAGAGCATATTATCTATTATATGATCCCATCTGTGAGATATATTACACAATCACTCACACATTTATATGTATATGACAAATACACCTTTGCTTAAGCATAGAACATTTTTGCAAGTCTACAGGAAAATGTTAAACTGATTTCCTCTAGAGAAAAGAACTTGGAGACTGGGATAAAGTTTTGCTTTACCTTTTGCTTCATTCCACAAATATTCAATGCATGCATTTATTATACTTTTAATGAAAAAAACTGAGTTAACTTAAATATGCTTGATCTACCAGATGGTGTCACTAGTAAGAGGAATATAGAATAATTAAATTAATATTCAGATAAAGACATGCTGAAAAACTAACCCTTGATAGCTGACTACAGAACTGAGGCACCAAGTTGAGGGGAAAGGGTGGGTAGGAGAAGGATAGGAACAAAGAGGAAAGGAAGCACATTGACCTGTGGTGGTGAATTATGGGTGATTTGGTTGTGGGTGCTCTATGGTGGTAATACCTGATGGAGCTACCCCAATATTACCTCAGTTAAAAATAAATTAATTTTTTAATGTTTGAGAAAGTAGCCAATCCTAATTGGAAATAGTTTTCATTTTCAGTAAAGATCAGTTGGTTCATAATTTTTAAATTCCAAAGAGAAAAATAAGTAGTAAATACCCATACCCTGATTCTTGGTAGTTGGGAATGGATGCTGAGTACATGGGGTCAGGGAAGTTTGTGGGTAGTCAGAGAGCAGGGAATCAGAAATCCTTGAGCCTGCTTTCTAAGGCACAGACAAAGGCGTAAAGGTGAGGCACCCCTCACACAAGTATAAGGCTTTACCTGTGCACCAGGGATTGAAGAGCAGGATGAACTCCCCGAGCTGGTAAGCTATGGAAGACCCTTGGTAGGAGTCAATTCGAACCTTCAAGAGATACCGACCCACTGCTGCCATAGGAGGGGCACAGAGGCTCACCTCCAGGGAGGTTGCCCCATTGGTCTTCACTGAGGCAATCCAGGGGCTTCTATATCCAGCCAGACTGAACACAGCCTGAGTACCCTTGGTCAGGTCTGGCAGTGGTCCTGGAAGGGAGACAGAGTTGAAGTCCTCGTAGTGACTTACCAGTTCCCGAGAATTCTCTCAAAACACACATACACACATGCACACCCACATACAGAGCCTAGTGAGTTGGCCAGAATCCTTACCAGTTTCAGCCACAAAGATGATGTTGTCCAGGCCAGGCTGGAAACCCCGGTTCCTAAAGTATAGAGTGATACTGAAAGCCTGGCCCCGGCGAACAATGAGGCGTTCAGAACTGATCTCCTCTGTGTGGTGTAGAATATTGTTCAGGGAGCTCTGGAGGTCTGTGAGGACCACCTCCAGTCCTGTAATAGGTGGTCAGGGGACAAATGAAAAAGCATGGTTGTGGAATTTGAACCAGTTCTGTCCACTACTTACAAGCTATGCAAACTTGAGAAAGAAACTTAGCCTCTCTGAATCTCAATCACTAAACTAGAGCCCATAATACCAGCCTTACAGGGAGGGTATGAGAACTAAATGAGGAAACACGCACACAAGTGCCACTTACTTTCTTACTCCATCCTCCCTTACTTCCCTGCTTCTCTGACCATCCAGCCTTATCTCCCTTAAGCCCTACTGGAACTGCTTAGTTTTCTGTCTCAGTCTGACACTTGCAAGCTGACCAAGTTTTTTTGTTCTCTTCAGTCTAATGGCTCGACATTTACCCAGCATCCACTTCATTGTACTCAAGCTAACAGTCTCTCTTGCCTCTATGACCTCCTCCAGATGTGGATCATGTCCCTAGATTACCTTCTTTTCTTTTTTTAAAGATTAATTTATTCATAAAGAGCTGGGGTACAAGCCAGAGGTGCAGGGGCGGTGAGAGGATTAACCAGAGACAGAGTGCGGAGCAGAACCAGCAGATTGACAAAGTACACTGCTGAGGGGAGCAGTGGGTGCATCAGGAGAGATCTGCCGGCCATGTGGTCACCTCTGGAACAGGGGATTGAACTCGCAGCGAAGCAGCTGCAGCCAGCTTGCAGTGCTGCATCTTAACCTGTTGTGCCACCAGGGAGGGCCATAGCTGCTATTCTTTTATCCATCAGCTGGTCCTCTCACCACCACTAGTGTGGGGCCCGGTGCCCTGTTGCAGAGATGCTGAAGACAAAGAAAGCCTTCTGGAAAGGCTGTCATAAAAAACGTTGTTGTATCTCAGGTGTGTCTCACCCCATAGGCTCCATTTCTGACTTCTCTGTGTTTGACCATCGTCCTCCCTCGGTACCCAGGAAGCTGGGTTCACAACCTTTACATCACAATTAACTTAACCCTCTCTTTCCCAATCTGTCTGTATTCATATATCATCAAGTTCCTTTACTTGTTCCTTTAAAGCATCTCTGGTATCCATTTCTGTCTTCACAAATTTAAATCATTCTGACCTCCTTACCCTACTCCTAGCAACAGTGGCAGCCTTCATCGGGTCTCCAGTGTCCTGTCTTTCCATACCACCTATCCTCAGCACATCATCAGATTTCCATTCAAGAAAACATGATCATACCATCCTTTGACTTAATAGTTCTGAGATATTTTTAGTCTACTGAATAAAAGACACATTCTTTAACCTGACACTTTAGACTCTCCATGCCTGGCCTTAATTTACACCTTTGCTTCTTACTTCTCTCTACTCCCAGCATAAATCTGCTTCTCCAGTCAGTCTGTCCCCAAGCAAATGGTAGCCCTATCCTTCCATGTATTTTGATCTTACTATAGCCCCAATTCAGAATGCCTATTCATCATCTAAATAAATTGCACCTGCCCTCCAATTCCATTTTAAGACCCACCCCTCTCATGAAGCTCTTAGTCTATAGAGATTTTTTCCCTCTCCCACTGATATACAACACTTAACTATGTCATTCACAGAGAATATTAACAGATTAGTTAACAAGTGACTAGTGCATGCTCATTTGTTCATTTATATCAACCATCTTTTACTGGGAGCCTACTAGTTTCAGGCTTAGCATATGGCATTCAGATATTGTTGTATTAATGTTTTATTTGTCTGTCTTCCACCACTAGATGTAAGCCAATGAGACTAGAGATCTGTTTTGTCTTAGTTATACCTACATTTTAAGAAATATGAATCAAAGTATTTGACCAAAATCCAGTGCCCTCTCATAATAAAAATATTCAAGAAATAAATTATTTCTGAAAATTGAAGAAATATCTTTAAACTGATTAAAGTTACCTTTGAAAAATCCACAGATAAACCCATACTTAATGTGAGTTAATGAGGATATGGAGAAATGGAACCTTCAAACATTCTGGTGGGATTGTAAAATAGTGCAGGTACTTTGAAGAATGGTCTGACAGTTCTTCAAAATGTTAAATGTAGAGTTGTCATATGACCCTGCAACCCTACTGCTAGGTGTATACCCAAGAGACTGAAAACACAGAACCTGAACATGAATGATAATAGCAGTATTATTCATAAAAATGAAAAATAGGAACAACCCAAATGTCCATCTGATTAATGAATGAATGAAAGTAATATGTATCCGTAAAATGGAGTATTATTCAGCCATGCAAATGAAGGCTGACTATAACATGGGTGAAACTTGAAATGTTAAGCTGAGTGAAAGTAGTTAGACAGAACAGGTCACATATTAAATGATTCATTTCATATGAAATATACAGAATAAGAAAATCCATAGAGATAGAAAGCAGATTAAGGTTTGCCAGGGATTGAAAGGATGGGGGAGTGGGCTATGGGTTTCTTATAAGAAATCTAAGCAATGATCAGCACCTTGCAGACACTCAAAAATATTTGTTGTTTTGAACACTCCTCTATTGTTTGCATCATCACCTGCACTTAATTCAGATTTTGGTGAGGGCATGCCTACTATGTGCAGACTCCTTCCTTGGTCTTTTGAGACAATTCTCTCACTGAATAGTCACCACAGTATTGGAGGGATGAAATGTCTTGTCATCTGTTCTTGAATGTGCGAAAACGAAGGTTCGGGTAGGTGAAATGTCTGGCGTAAGGTTAAACCTGGGGTTACTGGTCCTAGACCTGTGCTCTTCCCTCTATCCAACACCTCCCACTCATTGCTGGCTCTACTCATATAGAAAGAGCAGAATTCACTGCCAAGTGGGAAAGCATGTGACTTTTTCCTAGAAGTAGAAAAAGCAGCTCACTCACGTTGGAGACCAGCTGACTAGACTGATCACTGGCTCTGATTCAGGATGGGCACAGGACCAGAGTGATCAAAAGGTGTGACAGCGTCTGCCTAATAGCTAACCCTGGGGCCTGATCTCATCCTCTGGCTACCTCATGGGTCAAGTTATCTCTGCCCATGATATAAGGATCATTCTTCTGCCCAGACACCAGCAATCCAGCAAGGAGGTACACTTAATTATTAGCTACATATGCTCCTTGATGTGAGGAGAGGATGAGGTAAAATGATAGAAAGAAAATTAAAGGAAGAACTTCTAAAGTAGTTGATCTCAACAGCTATCCTGAGAGACACATCACATGAGTGCAAAGAGGCATAGGTCAGGATGTACACTACAACATTACATATACAACTGAAAAATGGGAAACAACCTAAGTGCTCAGGAATAAGGGATTGAATAAATAAGTTACTCATATCAATACTGTAAAATACTATGCAAAGTGGAAAATATTGAGGTAGATGTTTAGGTATTGGATGGCATGCATAGAGCTCCATGACACTGTTGAGTTAAATAAAAGCCAAACTATAGAAAAATATGTACAATGTGATTATGCCATAGATATAGAAAAGGTATATATGCTCTCCCCATGGATTAAATTGAATAGATATTCAAATGAATATGTGTGAGTGTGTGTGTGTGTGTGTGTGTATAATTCATAGACAAAAGACTGGTAACTGATTTCTCTGGAAATGAGGCTGGGGTGAGGGATGGCAGCTAGTAAACTATAGCTTTATCTATAATTTTAGATCATTTTACGCCAGCTGAATATTTCTTATGTAATCAAAAATAAGAAAAAGTAAAAAATAAAAATTTAGACACAAAAAAGTAAATGACTGTGAAGCTGTTACACTTGTTAGGTTATAATGACTGTTATAAGCTGTTAGGTTATTCTTCCAAATGGTTTCAACTAACCATTTCATCTTCAAAGAGAGAGTTGATTTGAAGAGAAGGGTAGTGTTGGAAAGAATGGCAGAGATGAGGAACAGACATTCAGAAATGGTGGGGAAAAGAGAAGATATGAAGATTCAGAGAATTTCAGAGCTGGAAGACAGCTTACGATTGTCTGGATCAACCCCCTCATTTTTCAGGCACTGGGGCTGGTACTAGAGAAGTAACTTGTCCAGTGTCAAAGGGCCAGCTAATGGCAGAGGACAGGAACTTTAGCACCCAGATTCCTGGCTGCTGCAGAAGCAGGCATGTTGGCACAACGTTGTTTGACTATGTTTACCTGTCAGCCTCCACCTAGTCTCTTGGTCCTCAGGCTACCAACAAAACCCGAGGTTCCCAGGGTTTCTAGTCTTTCTGCCTCAGTTCTTTATTTACAACTCTTTCTCTGAATCTACTCTTCCTTTGACTTCCTATAATCTCCCTGCCATCTTTGTCCCTGAAATCCAGCAAAGTCATGAACCTTACCTACCTTGATCCATAGTGGCTGCTTCTGGTTTCTGGGCTTCTCCCCACAGGTCACTTAGATGGCCTGAAGCCTCAGGAAACTGGTCCTAGAATGTCTGCTTTCCTTTCCATCGCCAAGACTCCAGGAGACACTGAAGGCGGGGCCAGCTGCTGCACTGCCACCTGCTTGCTGGGCAGATCACAACTGGTTTTCTCACTTACCCTCAGGTTTTTCTTGGCACTGTTGCTTGACTGAGAGGAAGCATAGAGGCCAATGAACTGTCAGGACCTTGTGCCATGTGGCTTTTGATGGCTCTTGGGCAATGGAACATTCCCTAGCCACTGCCATGCTGTGGTGGGGGAGCCCTTTGGGAAAGGTAAGCTGCTGGGGTCTCTAAGGGATGAAGGGGGCTGTGTCCCTGTAGGAAGGACTGTCAGGATCCCCAAACTATAGTCTACAGCTGAGAGTCTCTTCAGCCTAGAACTCTGCTCTAAACCTTAGCTCTCTCCTTTATCCAGAAGAGTCACTTTCTGGATCTAAACTGCAAACAGAATCTATTCTAGATCACCCTTGGTATGATTTTGGCATCTTTCTTTTTTGTCTCAGGTGAGACCTGCCAGGTCCCAAACACATCTGAAATAAAAACAGTAAAGAAAACAACAACAACAACAACAAAACTTGAGAAGATTCCTGAAGGAGTTCTGGAAATAGTGGTGCATGGGCCTGACAGCGGGTTATTCTGATTCTAGTAAGAAAAGTCCAAGTCCTTGGAGTGACAAAAGGGACAAAAGGAAGGAAGAGGAAAGGGCTCTTCATGGGGAGTGGGTGGGGACAAACATCCTGCATCCACACCCATTTGTCTCTTCCTCCAGTGAGACAATTCTCTCTGCAGCCCCCTGCTTTCTGGGTCCCTGATCTCTCTTTTCAGGAACCTTATTTACCAACATCCATCCTCCCTACTGTGTTTTAAACTCTCTGCCCCCTATAATCTCTTATGCATAGAATTCACTGCCTAACACTCTGCCTGCAATCCAAAACGGACCTCCTCCCTACTCCCCCACCTCTACATTTCTGCTCCTGGTGAGTGAGTACAGTGACCCTCCATCCCAACCCCCAATCACTCTGGGATCTTCCTGACCTCCCTCGGCTCTCTCTCCCTTAGTAGATGAAGTCTCTGCAGTTCAACTCCCAATTATTAACACTGTCCTCTCCACTCCTTGCCCTTGGCCCTGCCTGCATTGAAACCAGCCCCCCCCCCCCCACACACACTGACTGACACACACACACACACACCCTCTTTCGCCTGGACAACTCCTACCCATTCTTTTCCCAAATGAGTCACAAAGTGATTTTTTTTTTCCTGAAAAACATGAACAAGGTTGCTCCCTGTTTTAGGGTCCCACAGTGGGTGAAGTGCAAACTTTTCAACATAGTCCCCAAAGCCCTATGGGATCTTTCACTTCCTCCTGGAATCCAGGAAGACCAAACCCCACCCACTGTGGCATAAAGACGTGTTCTGCACCTCTGCACTCTGGCGCTTATTGGTCTCTCTCTTCCTGAAATGCTCTCCTCTCACTTGTCTACTTTCGTTAGTATCCAAGCTTAAGCATCGCCCCTCTGAGAGGTCTTCTTTATGCCTGCTCTCTAAACACACCCCGTTTGTGTTCCCTATTAATATACTCTCACCTGGATATTATAAATACTTGCCTGTTTCCCCCCAATCGTCTTTGAGGGCATGATTTCTGTCTTATTAACATACCCCAGTGCTTAATGAGGACAGTGGCTAATAGTAACGCTACTATTAGTAGAAGTAGTAATCACTTTTAGACTATAGACAGTCTTGTTTTCTTGTGTGCATTGTGCGGCTTAATCCTCACACATATGATTATTGTTCCTGTGTTGCAGATGAGAAAGTCAAGGCATAAACACATTAAATAGTTTTCCCAAGCGCTCTCCCTAAGAACTGATGGAGTCATATTTTAACCCAGGCAGACTCCAGACCCTTGCATGCATGTTTAATGTAGTGTCTTAAAAACAGGGTCAATTTTCCATTTTAGATTTGTTGATTGATGGGGTGAACTTAATTTAAAAAATGACCCATGTGTGAATAAATGGATAAATGCCTAAACCCACTGCCACATTAGCTGAGATGGTTTACTTTGGGATAAAGAACATACATAGGCAGGAGAGGTTAACTGTGAGTGGAGACAGGGAGGTTGGGTCTGGAGACATGGAGTGGACAAAGAGGAAGGTGTCCAGTGGCCATCTGGCAACAGCCCATTTCAAGATGCTGGCCTGCTGAGCTGATTTACAGGTAGGGCCTCTCTTTTGATTCCTACAAATCATCAGTCAGAGGTTATAGAGGAGGAGGTGTGTACTAAGGAGGGAGGGAGTTCCTATCAGAGCAGCTTATCCTTTGGTCCATGGTCAGGAAGCAGAGGCCAGCCAGGGAAGCTCAGCAGGTTTGACAAGCACCTTCCTATCTGGATGGAAGCAGGGCTGCGACTCTCAGGAAGAGGAAACAGCAGATCCTGGACACTCAGGGAGGTGTGAACTTACCTGCCATCTCCATGGGGCAGGCCAGCTCTCACAAGGTAAAGGTCAGGAACCTTCAGATCTCTCCAAGACTCAAGAGACAAAGGTACAAATCTGTCACGAATTCCCAGAATAGTTAGGCAAGTTCCAGTTTCTTTGTAGAGTCAGGACACCAGGCTGTATGGGTGCCCAGTTCTGAGGTATGGCTGAGAATGTTTCCCACAGAATACTGCAAAGGGAAGTCAGAATTGGCATATACAGGTGGCTTCCTCCCTCTTCTTGCTCCCAGAAATGGAAACGGTCCACAGGAGGGGTAATGAAGCCCATCAGAGGAACTGGGTACATGGATGTCCTTAGCAGTTTGCATTGCTTTTCAGAAAACTTTCTCATTTGATCCTCACAGCAAGTCTATGAGGGAAGCAGGTTACCATTTTGCACTTGGGGGAGTTAGGGTTTATCCCAGAGCCCTTTGCTTCATATCACATAAGGCCAAAGAGCAGCAGGGACCCATTAGAAAAGGGGTAATGGTCAAATTGGTTGAGTATAGTTTTGGTATGTAGAGGTTGTAAAATATGCCTAGGAAAAGGATTGCTGGGAAAATATTTATGATAATATTGGTGCATTCTGCTAGAAAAAGTAAGACAGATGAACCTACTGTGCATTCAACATTTAAATGAGGAACTTGCTCTGATCTCTTTCTGTTAGGTAAAATGGAGTGCAGTTAGTTTATGGTAGGGTTGAAATGAACCACATCATGGCTGGGGTCATGAGGGAAAGATTAAGGAAATATATCCTTGATTAATAATTAGGGTTGATAACGTGAAATGATATCACTTAGTAAGAGATCTGATAGTAAAATGATTGCTAGGGTTACTTCATAAGAACTTGTTTGCACTGCTACTCATAAAGCTCCAATTAATGCATATTTTGGATTGAAGTTTCGACCTGATTGTAAGATAGGGTAGACAGCTCAGCTTGACACTGCTGGCATAAATAGCACACCTAGATTTATGTGGATCCTAAAACCACCAGCCAAAATAATGTGAGGACAACAGTCTCCAAGGATGCCTGAGGTGGGGGGGGCGGGAATGTGAAGAGTAGCAGTCGGGAGACTGGATACTGGCCTGGCTTGTGACTCCTTCTTGCTCCACAGCCTGAACATTTGCCAGAATTTCTCCGTGGGAACTACTTCCTGACCCAACCTCATCGAGGAGTTATGGGATGAGGGACAGCGAGGCCTTCAAAAAAGGGTCACTCAGAATCCAGTCATCAACCTCCCAGCAGGGGGTATGAGCCCCACTGTCCTGGGCCTGGGGGTATCAAAATTAGAAAGAAACTCTGATTGTCTATCTGGTCCAGAAAGGGAGTGATGGGTGGGGAGAAAGCAGAACAGGCTTCCTTAGGTGGAAAAAAAAAAAAGAAGGAGAAACAGAACACTACCAGTTATGGCTTTTAAAGTCAATTTTTAGGTCAGGGGTGAGGAAAGATTTTGAAAGGTTGACTGAGAAGACAAGGGTGGGTTAATATCCACATCCCCCCCCCCCACCACCCCCAAGGCCTCATAAGGCCCAGTAGGAAACCTGCCCACTGTTCCCCTCCACTGTCACCACTAGAATGACCCAGGCAGGTGGGGCAATGACTAAGAAAGGAAGCCAGGGCCCTGGACAGATGGAGCAAGGTTTCAGATTTCTGCTAGAGCCAGCCCAGGTGCAGGTGTCCTGCAGGCAGGCTGGGAGCCACTGGGAACACAGCAGTGACGGCAGTGACCAAGCCCCACGGAAATGCTCAGTGGTGCCTAATGGGGACAGGGTGGAGTGTACTTTGTACAGGCTCCTGCCCTTCCTGCCCAAAGCAGACTGTGTGAAAGCAAAATAAATAAAAACAGAGTGGAGGCAGAGGAGGGCAGTGGGTTGGTGAGAGATGACAAATGAACGTGCAGATTCACTGAGCGGGTGGGGAGGCCCAGGCCTGGTAACCCACAAAATGGTCCTTTTCTGCTTTTCTGGATTTTGTGAATTTTCCATAATGAATATGTGTCAATTTGTAGTGATACCTTTATTTTTCTATTAAAAAATTTACATATATATAATTGACATAAAATGTGTAAATTTAGGGTGTAATCTGTGTTGCTTTGGTACATTTATGTCTTGCAATATGGTTAGCACTGTAGCTCAGGTAACATCTGGATCATGTCACATAATGATCATTTCTTTTTTGGGTTGAAAGTGGTGAGAACATATAAGATCTGCCCCCTTAAGTGCACTGAGCTATCTAATACAATATTGGTGTTTATATTGTTAACTATAAATCATTATGCTGTATGCCCAACACTTTTATCTTCTAACTGGAAGTGTATACCTTTTGCCTATCACCACAGTACTCTTAACCCCCAGCACCTGGTAACTACTATTCTGTCTGCTTCTGTGAGTTCAGTTTGTTTAGATTCCACATTAAGTGTTATCAAACAATATTTGTCTTTCTGTCTCACGTATTTCACTTAACATAATGCCCTCAAGGTCCTATTCATGCTGTTGCAAATGGCAGATTTCTTTTTTTCTCAAGAATGAGAAAGATTCCATTGTATCACATCTTTTTCTGTCCATTCATTCACTAACACTTTTGTTTCCATACTTTGCTATTGTGAATAGTGCTGCAGTGAACATGGGGGTGCAGATAACTTTTAAAATTTACATCCCCAGCAATAGCACACAAGGGATCCCTTTTTCTACATCCTGTCAACACTTGTTATCACTTGACTTTTTGATGATGGCCATGTAATGATAACTTTAAAATATATAGTGAAAGAGTCAAAGGGGTGACCAGACTAAAATATGGTAGAGATTGTTAACAGAGACTTCTTTTTTTTTTATTTTGACTTTTATTTTTTGATGTTTTTAATTTAGTAATTTTGTTTTACATCCTTGTTAATCTTTGACAGTCTAGGGTTTCTCCCCTCAGGTGTGATCACGGTAGCTCTCTGCCACCAATATACCCATAGTTTTCTGCCATAGACCATGGTGTTCTCCCAGTGCTCATCATTACCCTTCTCCCTCACCTCCTGGATGCCTAAGATCTATGATCAGCTTTCATGGGCTGGTTTTAAAGTTTGTCTTTGTCTGACCCTTCTGTATTCAACATATAAATAAAACCATCACTGTTTGTCTTTTTCCTTCTGACTTATTGCATTGAGCATAAACCCTTCCAGTGCCACCCATATTGCTGCAAATGGCATGAGTTTAGCAGAGATCTCTTGTGCATGGGAGAGCTAGTGGTGATTTTTCTTTTGTTTCTTTTTATTTTTCTTCTCTTCCCAGATGCTCTAGAATGAGCATAAATGATTTTGAGAATCACAGGAAGAAAATATAAAAAGGGACTTCTGTCTTTAAAACAACAAAAATAATACAATAGAGGCTGAGGAATTAGAGAGGCTTAGAGAGCATGAAAGATGAGTAGGAAGGGTTGGTGAGGGGCCAGGAGGGAAAGGTGTGGTTAGGAAAAGTGAGAGCCAGTTGTTGAGGGTAGCTAGCTATGAAGTACTTCCTAGTCTCCTTGGGGAACTGGCCTGAATGGCCCCTCCCAGCTGTCCCAGATGCTCTCAGGCCCACAGTGGAGAAGTTCTGCTGGGCAGCTTCTGGCCTGCTCAGTGTGGTGCCCATCACTGCCCTCTCAGCATATCCAGGCCTCCCTCTCTCTCCACATTTCCCCCCAGGTTGGCTAAAACAGTGTAAGTGAAAAGCTCCAGGACTGATTACAGAGAGCAGATTTAGAGGGGATTATGATGGGCTTTTTTTGTGATAAGAGTACTTAAAGGGAGAGAGAGAGAAGACAGGAAGAGTAGGGAGGGCCCAGCCACACAACTAGCAGCCAAGTCAAGAGGAGTGGCCCGTAGCAATAAGTAAGTTGTTAGCACAGACTAGAGAACACCAGTGATGAGTAAAGATGTCTTTCTTGTTTCTACCCAAGACACACAGTAGTTCTCACAGTGTTTCCTTCACCCTGGGATAAACTGAAAAGAGGACAGAGAAAGAGCAAAGAAAACACCTTCTGGGGTAGACAAGAGCAAGTTTGGGCTGGGAAGGGGACGGAAAGGCAATGGTTGGATCAGATGGGGCTCAAGAAGTGCCAGCCTCAGCAACAAAGATGTGCTTGTAGCCCTTGATCTCCTTGACCTCATTGCTGGTGATAAGTACTTGTAGCTGGCGGGTCCCAGCTTTGTTGGGGTAGAGGTTCTGGTGAATTTGGACGTTGTGTTCAGGCACCAATGTCCCGAGGCTGAAAGTCAAAAAGAGCCTGGTAGAGCCTTGGGGAATAAGTGCTCAAGTGGGTGATTTCCTCTCTTGGGGGGTAAGCACCTCCCACCCCCCAATACTTTGGAGCTCAGCCTCAAGGAGGGTAGGGAGGTGGGAGAAGGAGGAACCATCTAGGAGACTAAGAACCATCCTATGCCCCCCACCCCAAGGCACTTACTGATTTGTTATCTGCCCATTGATGAGGCCGCTTCCTTCCAGCACCATCAAGCAGTTATTCAGAGCCACTGTCAGGGTATTGGTGAGGGTGATGTGGACTCTCAGCACCCTGCCCACTTCCGCCTCTTCAGGCACCTGTGTGGAGAAAGATTCATGGGCAACTGGCCTCATTTCTGCACAACAGTTCAGTAACCTCACTCCCTGATCCCTCTAGTGACTAGAAGGGACTGAAGTAGAGCTAAGATACTGCCATTTGGAAAGAATATGAGCCAGAATACAAGTTTAACACATACCCTAACCTGTCTTAAAAGGTGGCAATATGGGCCCTCCCTGGTAGCACAACAGGCTAAAGCACAGCACTATGAAGCCATCCACAGCCACTGCAGCTCAAGTTCAGGGGACTCACATGCCCACTGCTCCCCCCAGCAGTGTACTTCATCAATCTTCCTGTTCTGCTCCCCACTCTGTTTCTGTTAATCCTCTCACTCCCTGCATCTCTGTCCTATACCCCAGTTCTTGTGAGCATAAATAAATAAATCTTTTTTTAAAAATGGCAATACTCGGCCCTCCCTGGTGGCGCAGCCGGTTAAAGCACAGCACTGAGAATCTAAAGCCGCTTGCACATAAGTTCGATTCCCGCCTGCCCCGGAGGTGACCACATGGCGTGTCAGACCTCTCCTGACCCACTCTCTGCTCCCCTCAGCAGTGTACTTCGTTGATCTGCCGCCCCTGAGCCTCTGGCCTGTACCCCAGTTCTGTATGCACAAATAAATCTTTAAAAAAAAAAAAAAAGGCAATACTTTTGGAAGCCACCACAGTCAAAAACTAGCACCAGGTTCAAATCTGTTTACTATCTACTCTAGGATAGCAAGTACATTCAACTTAAGTGCCAGCTCCAATCTATTAGTCATGGCTAATAGAAAGGAAATCTGTACCTCTAGGTTTGTTGCAGCACTATTTACAATAGCTAAGATAAGGAAACAACCTCAGTGCCCCAAAACAGATGATTGGATCAAGAAGATGTGTTTTATACACAGTGGAGTACTACTCAGCCATCAAGAAAGACAAACTCATGCCATTTGCAGCAATATGGATGGAGCTGGATGGAATTATGCTCTGCAAAATACATCAGAAGGAAAAGAAAAATATTGTATGGGTCAGGAACAAGGCAAACCTTACAGACAAACCATAGGTCTGAGGCATACAGCAAGGGAAAGAGGGATCAAAAAGGGAGGAGAGAGCACAAGGGACTATGGTAACATTTTACAGGTGATGTGGTAGGGGGATTTTACAGGGTTTACACCTGAGTGGAGAAATCAAGTATTATACAGAAATGAACAACAATGTAAGAATAAAAAACAAACAAACAAAAAATAAATGCTATATTCAAGAAGATCCCAAGACAGAGTCAAGACTGATTAGTAGTATCTGGCCCAGGGATAAGAAAAAAAGTGTCATGTGTGACATTTTCATGCTGGTAGTGGTGTCATTCTTGAGAAAAAGTTCGCAGGATGTTAATTTCAGAGTTGTGACCTGACCCAGATGTCCCAGACCCCAACTTTGCCCTGTGCTGCTCTTTCTTCCTTTACATCAGCAGAGCCACTCTGGATTTTTTCCAGGTGCATTTAGCACATCACAGTTGAGGTCTGTGTCACCGGGTAACACAGCTTTGGTCTCTGAGTGGGAGGGAGAGGTTCTGTCAAACTCACGTCTAGGGGCCTGAGCCTGGCAGAGTGCTCTCACATGACCTACAGTGTTGAGCTCAAATGAAGCCTGACCACCTGTTTCATTTGGAGGCATGTTCTGGCTTAACCAGAGAATCAAGGAGAAGGAAGAACACATTTTGACTTCTCTGGAATTCAAATAAAAGAATCAAGCCCTTTGTACTCTAGTGGAGATGTGAAAGTAGAACAATTAAAAGTACTCGGGAATCCAGCATAGTTACACAAATCTCCCCCAGGTTCCCTACTGATGGGAACTAATTAATAGCCTGGCAGCTGGTGTGTTTGCATTGGCTCCTGTTGTGACCAGAGCTCCAGATAACAAGCACGGCCTTCTCCTCAGTACCAGACTTATGTCTGTGCTTGTGATTTTGCCCACTGTTTTCCCCACCATGGAGGCTGTCTGGCATCGCTTGGCCTGCCAACCTGATGGTATCCCCAGAGGAAGACTATCAGGCAGCCTGTTGTTTATGATACAGAGCCACCCAATTCTCATCCTGGGTAGGAGTGGGGTATGTTGTTGATGAGTACTCCAGTCACAAATCCAGGTTTGATCTAGGCAATAGATAAATCTTTCTGAGTAGGCTAGGAGGAAGCCAGGAAGGGAGACAGGTAGAGAAGGAGGTTTTAAGGGAAGAAAACTCTGGTAATAGGAGATGGGAAACACCCCTGTCCTCCTCCCATTTATCCTTCCTCCATCTGACTCCTTCCTCATGTAATAGACTCAATAGTCATTCAAGTCTCTGAACTCAAAATCTGAGGCTCAGTTTTCATTTGTTTTCCTTGTCACCCCCATCTTTTCAGCAGCCACCTTTTGAATTTGACCTTGGGTCACTCTCAAATCAATTTTCTCTATCTCCTAGTCACTGCCTTTATTGGTCACCTCTGCAAAGCTATTTCCTCATTTAAAATGCCATTATCTCAATCTTGTTCTCTATACCATGTCTTCCTGTGCATCCTCTGTAAATGTCACCTCCTCTGGGAAGACTTCATGTCCTGCCCTGCACTTTGAGTGGAGCAGAAACCACACAATATTGCACTTTAATCATCATTTAGTGTCCAAGGCTTGGGTGGTGTCTGGTCCCCCCAGGTTCTACACTGAATGAGTCAGAGGACCCCTGGGTCCCATTTCTGAGCACATGCCTTACCTTAATAGATAAGTGGGGAGGTTCCAAAGAGATATCTTTTAGGACCAGTATGAACCTCCCAGTCTCCTTGACCTCGGCGATCCCAGACACGCGGATCAGCTTTTCATCTGTCAGTTTGTTTCTGTAGTTGTTGTAGGGTAGCAAAAGCGACTTCTCTATCTCTAAGCACAGACAAAAGCATCTTGAGTCTGGAGAATGGGTCTTGGAAAGGAAAAGGGGGTGAGAGAGAGGAAGAGGGAGAGCCAGGGGAAGGAGCATATGTGAAAAGGGGAAAAATGTAAGAGAGAATGTGTGAGTGATAGTGTGTGTGTCAGTAGTGTTTGTATCAGTAGTGCGTGTAAGAGAGACTTGGTTGGTGTTTTCATGCAGCACACTCGCCCCAGAGGTCATTGCTTTGTCTTACCTGGTGGGATGGCATCAGAGGTATCACATGTGGCATTCCACCTCCTACCAACAGCAGCTTCACTGCTCTGTGTGTGTGTTGGGGATGTGAGGGTCTCTGGTGATCTGGCCAAGCCAGCCAGCTTCATTCATGACCCCAAACCGCCCTTGTAGTTGCCTTCCCTGGCCTGCCCCATACTCACTCTCCCCAAAGTCCAGGTTCAAGAGCATTCTTTGCCTCCACAGGGGCTCCCGAGTGCCACCCTTGTGCAGCAGGGCCTGTGCACACAAGTGCACCATCAGTGTGACAGGGCCATGCATATAAGTTTGGTCCGGCACCCTCCAAGCAAGCAGCTTCAGTAGCAGGTTATGGCCCCACTCTGGTGTCTGGGCAAGGTGAAGCTGCAGCTGTGCTGGGTGATTATTAAAATTCCTGGACCCCAAAAGATCCAGGAAGGGTGAAGAGACTTCTTCGGGACCCAGAATTTTCCGGGAAGCCTTCAGGAAGACAGACCGTTCTTCAGGGGATCCTGGCAGGAAGAAGACACAGGAAAGACAGTGGTGGGGAAGGTTCAAGAAAAGCAATGACCTTTTGTGGAAAACAAGCCATCCAGCAACTCCCAGCTCCTCTCCAGAAGCCCCAACTACAAGAACAACTGCATAAGCCTTCATGGTTGAGGATGTGGAGATTAGTGTTGCTTGATGCTGTGTTCAAATGCTTGCTCTATTACAGTCTCTTAATCTCTCAGTGCTCACTGCTGTCATTTACAATCTAGGGATACTGTTTGTCTCACACATAGAATTACTGAAAATTTGGGCCAAATGGCTTGGTGAATAAAATCACCCAGTGATATTCTTTCTCATCAATAGTGCCACCTTCATCACTATCATAGTCATCAAAGCCAGAGGTTTCTTTTCCCTCCCAGAATACATGCTTCAAAAACATATGCTCAAATCTTTTAAAGAGAGCTTCATTTCTTGCCTTTGGGGGCCACTCAACATCCAGGCTTAACCACAACTTACCCTAAGCCATGAACTTTGCCAGTATAATTACTATGAACCAGGGACACTGTTCCAAGTACTTTGTGAGTATTAACTCATTTAGCCCTAACGATAGCCCTTTGAAGTACTGTTAACCCATTTTACAGAAGAGAAAGTGGAGACATGGAAGCTAAGAAAGTGACCAGTTACACAGCTAGGACCTAGCAGGACCTTGATTTACAGTCAGGCAGCCAGACACCCTCTTGGCCTTCTCCACGGGGAGTCTACTCCCTTCTACAGCCCCAAGGGCCCTTTCCCTCCTCACGTGTCCACTTCTGCCATTGCTGCCAACCCCAGTCAGGGTCATAACATATGGCAACTCTAGGATAGAGTCACCAAAAAAAAACAAAGGATATTCAATTCGAGTTTCAGATAAACAATTTTTAGTACAAGTTTGGGACATGTATCAATTAAATATCTGCATTTATCTAGAATTCAAATTAACTGTGCACCGAGTATGTTTATTTGCTAAGTCCAACAACCTTACCTGATGGCCACATGGCCAAGTTTCCAGATAACCCCTGGGAATTTGCCGCGAGGATAACACGAGTAAGTGGCAATTGTTTTAACATGGGAGCCATCCCAGTAAGGAGGCCACACAATGAAAGTTATACCCTCTCCCTCCCCCAACTCCCCAGGGTACATGCACCTTCTGGGTACTTGTAGGAGCTGGTGATGTTCTGGCGCTGGTCTGACCCTACCATCTTGGTACTGATTTCCTTTCCGATGGAGCTGGTGTTATGGGCTAGGATTTCCTGGGCCTCACCATCCCCGAAGAGCCAAATCACTTCATCAGCATTCACTTCACCATATACAAATGAGGTGTCATAGTCCAGGTGTACCTCCCCTTCCCTGATGGCTCTTACGGAGGCAGGGCCACAGCAGAACAACCCTGTGCAGGGAACAGGAGTTGTGGACAGTTAACACCTCTGCTATTGGAACAGCAATCATGACAGAGAGAGAGGGGGCATGAGATAAGGAGGGGCAGCGTCATGAACGACCTTCATCCATGAGGGTGCTCTAGTTCCTATTAATTCATCCTTTCCTTTCAGCCATCATGTGAAGAGGCAGTTGCCATCATCTTCCCTAATCAACAGGCAAGGAAACAGCTAGAGGTGCAGTGACTTACCCAGGTTAGCCGATGTCAAGAGCAAAGTTACACTCCTGACCCAGAATCGTCTCTGTAACAACTTGGGGGAGGGGGGCGTGGAGTAGGAATAATTCCTCTTCTTTCTGGCCTCCTGATCATTGGTCAGTCACCCTGAACAACCTCCCCACAGAGTCCAGACCCTCCTACAGTGGGCTCCACTCACCACTGCTAGTTTGCTGGGGAGTGGGGTCCAGGACCTGCCACCCATTGTAACCTGGTGGGAGATCTTTCCTAACCATCCAGCATTCATTCCAGACATGGAAATTCCTACAGAAAGGAGTAAGGAGAGAAGGACTTAGACTTTGGTAGGATTAACTAGCTATCATTCTTCTTTATTTCCCACCTCGATTTTTATTTGGAAGTAATTTCATGCTTATATTTAAGTTGCAAAAATAGTCAAAGAACACCATATACCCAATTCATCTATAACATTTTGCCCATCTGCCTTATCGTTGGCTTTCTTTCAATGTGGATATGGAGATTATGTTTTCTTCTTCTTCTTCTTTTTTGGTATTTTAGTGTGTATTTCCTAAGAATGGGGATCTTCTCTTACATAACTCTTCTACAGTTATCATCCTCATACATTTAATATTAATATCGTACATTTTGTCTACTGTCTATATTTCAATTTTATTAATTAATTTAGCAATTAATGGTATTCTTTCCCACTGAAACCAGGATCCAATTAAGGATCACATATTTCTATTAGTTTTCCAGTGGCCTTTTATCTGGAACAGATGCTCAGCCTTTGTTTTATTCCATTGACATTGTCAAACATAGTCTTGGTTTGGTTTTTGTACCAGAGTTGTCCTGTTTTGAGCCTGTCTGACATCTTCTCCTATTAGAGTCAATTATGCATCACAGACAAGAGTTGTACATAAGTGATATATCCTTCTCAGAGCTGCCAATGTATATTGAATAAGAGAAGTTTCAGTCCTCTAGAAGCTCAGAGACAGAGGGTTCCAAGGACAGCAGCTAGTTTTCACACAACTCAAAGGACCTTACCTAGAAACTGGCTGGAAAAGAGAAACAAGAAGTGAGATTTGGGATTGGAGAATGGGAGAGAAGAATCAGAAGAGACTAGATATACAAAGATAAAGGGACACACAGAGATACATGCTCACAAGGGGAGCACTCCCTCTCCCCCTGCCACACACACAATATCAGGCTTTGCCCTGATAGGGCCTCACAGAAAGAGTCAAGAAAGAAAGAATAAGATTAATATTGGTTTTGAGGTCAGTATTCAGAGAATCCCCAAACTATTCATTTGGTTGCCAGCCTCAGAATAACTGGTGATCTCCTGTCTCTGAAATGAGTTAGATTTGATGAGCATGAACAGCTTCCTGGGCTTGGGATTTATTCTCTGGGCATCAGCAACTATGTACGGGGCAATATTTTCTCGAGGCCAGAAAAAGCCAGGTCAAAGTTTTCCTACCTATAATGGAGCAGAAAAATGAGAGAAAGCCACTTACCATATTTTATCACGTTTCTTAAGTGGTAGCATTTCTGCAGTTTGGTTATAATAGGTGTCGATGGTCAAGTTTCCATCCACATTGTGTGCAGAACGGAAATTGGAAACCACTCGGGTTGGAACACCTAAGCATCTCATTACTAAAGGGAGAAAAATTATGGACAAATCATTGAATTCATTTCAAGCAGAATCATTAGTTCCTCATGCTCTCTTCCTAGATTGAAGTTGGAGGAGAGAGGGGAGAGTTGGAGGGCCAAGAGTCTGGTGGATCCACACCTGTAACTCCTCCATCCTCAGCGCTCCACACCCAGGTCCAGAACCTGCCTCCCACCTGCCCTATTAATGGTCTCCATCCCACTGGGTGAAATAAATGATCTGAGGGTCACTTAAAACAACTAATAAGTCAATGGATTAATTAGGGCTTTTCCCACTCAACAGCTTTCCACATTAAAAACAGAAAACCAAAAACATTTGTTAACTAGAAAGAATATGAAAAGCTGTAGGCTTGTGGTGTGGCCAGTTTTAGAGGAAAAGTTGTGTGTCCTTGGGCTGTGACTTAGTTTGACTTAGGTCAGACTCTGTATGTAACAAGATGAGAACTGTTAACAATGCCCATGCAGCATTTAAATACACTTACTTTGGCAGAGTTTATACTTTTCCCCTTGTTCTCTTGCTTTATTCTGGGCAAATTTTAAGGGGAAAATTTGTGCTGTTGTTAGTGCAACTGCTGTGTATGTTGAGCCACTGTTGTCATGCCAGCCAGGTGCAGAGGCAGCTTAGCTACTGAGGTATTGAATGTTCTGAGGACATGCTAGACAACAGCTTAGTTCCTTTTTCAGGCTCATTGGCTTTTGCTTTTTTGTTGAATGATTCCAATCGTAAATAAAGCTTTTAATAATTTTGTGAGGGGAAATTACTTTTGTTTCTGAAATTCTTTATCTATAATTCTTCTATAATTCTATTAAAAGTCAAGGGGTTTGGAGGAGATAAGAAAGAAATCAGAGAATGGATAGAAAAAGAAAATAGACTTACAGAAAGAAATGCAAAGACTGATGTCTTACATGGAGCAGCAACAGTACCCTCTAGTGGTGTATTAGGGTAGTGTTAAAAGGATTTAAAACAGCAAAAATTTCACAGATCTAGTCACACAAAGCAGAAACTACACTACCGTCATTAACACACACACAGAGCACACACATACACACACATCTGCCAAGGACAAGGTGAAGTCAAGCCAAAATCCAGGGGTGACCTCAGAACATAGTTGCCCACCTCCACCAGCAACTTGAGGAGTTGAGACAGGTTTCTACCAGGGCTTTCCTGCCCAGGAGCAGGTGGTGTCTAACAAGGCTGCTGAGAGGATTACAACTCTTTGAAAAGTAAAAGGACTAATAAAGTGACCAATATTTTTGTTTTGATTCATTCACTAGCCCCAAAAGGAGCTACCTGTCCACAATCACCTGTTTTCTCCCAGCACCGCGCTTTGGTGTCTCACATTTCCTTAGCAGGGAGAGAGTCAGACCAGGGCTGCAAGGAGAAGCTTGGCAGGAGCAGTTGTCCCTTTGCTCAATGGCCCTGAACTCTAGGGCCTGGGAGTGGAGAAGAGACAGTGAAGTGAGGATGCCTGAGACCTGCCTCCTAAAGCCTTCCTAGTCAGAGACTTCTCAGCCCGAGGCAAATTTGGGGCTATTAAATGTTAATCCTGTGCTGAGCATTTTCCAGTGAAACATTCAGATGTAAACCTCTCCTTGGTCTGTAGCACCTACTGCCAAATTATGCTGCCCCGCTCAAAAATACCTGGAACTTAGTCTTTGGCCCCTGTCTGTGTTCCCTCGTTCTTCAATTTAGTCTCACCCCATTAGTTTAGCAAATCTGAATTAGCACCACAGTGTAATTGGAAGTGGAAGGTACTCTGGCCTTACATGGGGGAATCAGGCAAGCACCCCACGACTTTTTGTCTTTCCATCATCTTCAGAGATCATCTGAACAAGTTGCACTAAGTTGCATATAACTGATAATGCATAAGACACTATGTTCCTTAAGAGTAGTTAGCAAATTTCTAATTGTAACTCCTCAAGAATCTCTATGAGAAGTATATGGGAGTTGCCATGGCCCAGGTGAGGTTCTAGACCATTTGTTTGTACTCCAACCTGTCCAAACTTCAGGCTCTCCTGGAGCTGAGATGCCGGAGTAGGAGACAGAAAGAAGCCAGTCTGCCTCCACTTTGAAACCATAATGCTCCTCTCTGCAGATGATCACTTTAATAGTCTAATTGCTCTGTCAAAGAGATTTGCAACAGGCCAAACTCCCTCCTAGTTGCTCTGTTTGTGCAAGATTTCTCCGGTCTGCAGATTGTGCTGGTTAGGAGCCCAACTGCCCCTACTCCTTAGTTGTGGGGCTGTGGATAAGCCAGTTAACTCATGTGAAAACAGTAACACTGTAGGTTTATTGTGAAGATGAAATGAGTGACTGCATTCCCATCTCCTGCTCACTCACCAGTGCACATAACAGCTGCAAAGACCCAGCACTGTCCATACTTCACAGGCTGCCCGCCCCTGGATGACCACTGGCGCAGGATGGCCACACTGCCGTTCCACTCCAGCGGGCTGACCCCTTTAGAGTAGTCCTCTCCCCAGTTACCCTGCAGCACGCCACTGTCATCATTGCTGTTGATCTGCAAAGGACAGGCATGTAGGTTTCCACAGTGCCTGGGAGAAGGTGATAATGTCTCAGATGGGGCCAGGAAGCTCCTGTCCTTACCATGGCACTCACCACCCTGCACACGTACACCACATCACCGCGCTGGGAGTAGTCTTTGGATGGGTTCTCTAAGAAGTACAGGCTCTTGTTCAGAATTTCAAAGCAAAGATCTATGATGTCCTCTTCAAACTTGCAAGTGATTTCAAGAAAGACAAAATAGAAGAGTAAAACTGGCTAGAATTGTAAAACTTCAAGTTGGTAACAGACTTCTAAGGATGGTGTTTGCTCAAAATGCAGATTCCAAGAGTGTCTAAGTCAAACTGGAATGATATTAGACTCAAGTTATTAAAAATCAACATGTTGGGGAAAATGCAAACAAAATTTGGAGAGATGAGAGGCCCCTGTTGACTGAAGAGGTCAGAAGAGACTTTTGGAGCCAATGGGCTTTGGGGGTAAAGTAGACAGGGAGGGGAGTTGGTCAGGCCTTTGAGCATGTTGGGTACCATGGACAGGATCATAAGGAGCTCATATATGAGGACTTGTGGTATTTGGAAAAGATCAGATAGATTAACATAACATAAACAGGTATGTGAGGAGAGGGAGAAGAGTCTTGAAATCAGGTACAAATTCAGTGCTGATGTTTCGTCAGCGCTGATGTTTTGAGTATAAAAGAAACCAGTGTAAGTTCAAGACATATATATAACATGTAGTTGTGACATGTTGCAGCCCTTTTGGTTCCCAAGTGTACAAGTATTTGTTTCCAAAAAATTATACAAGTTGTTACAGTTGGAGAACAGGGAAACATCTTCCTCAGCAAGGCTCCCTGCTTCCCCCCAACTCTCCCTCCTGGAGTGTGGAGAGTGGCTGTGATGGCAGTGGGAGGAAGAGAGAAAAACCACACTAGCTGTGGATAGTGGCTGAGAATAGACAATTGGCCAGAGTCAAGGACCCTCTCTGCATATAGACTAGATATTAAAGAATTGTACTAATAATTGTGCATTTTATAACTGGGTTGTGGTTACATTTTTTACAGTAATTATCTTTTAGAGCTATATTTGAAAGTATTACTAGATTAAATGAGATGACACCTGTAAACGACTAAAAAATTCAATGATGAAGTATGAAGCCTCAGGGCATATAGACTGGGGGTCAACAAATGTTTTCTGTAGAGGAGCAGATAGTAAATAGGCTTTATGGGCCATAGAGTCTCTAGTTCAACTCCTCAACCCCACTGTGTGGCATAAAAACAGCCTCAGACCACAGTTAAACAGACAACAGTGGCTGTGTCCCAAAAAAAATGTTATTTCTGGACATTGAAATTTGAACTTCACCTAATATACATATCAGAAAACATATTTTGAAATCATGTTTCAAAAATATGAAGGTCATTCTTTATCATGGACTGGACATAAACCAAGCGAGGGCCATACTTGTCCCATGGATTATAGGTTGTAAACCCCTGGTGTGGATGAAACAAAACTCACCATTAATTGACCACTATTGGAGCTGAGAGGTCCACAGAGATTCATTAAAATAACCTATCTACTCGGGTTATTTCAAGATAAAAGCTAAGCAGGAAAGGCATCTCTCCCTCCTTTCTTGCTCCTCTCACTAGATGGGAAATTGACCCAGCACTTTACATACTGACGTTGCTGGTGGCTCTTCCAAAAGCTGACAGTTGTCTAAGGCCCAGCTTCAGGAGCCCCGCCCTGGCCCACTTTCCAGTGAGAGTGTTACCTGCCCGTAGTTCCAGGGCCAAGGGGTGATGAATTTTTCGTGACCCTTGTAAACAAAGCCATAGTCCATCATGATATACTCCTGCAGCAGTATTTCACTTGGCAGGTAGACATCGTCCTCTGAGCAGGGCACAATCCCAAACCAAGAGACAAACAGTGATAAAGTTGAAAAGAATAATGACAGTACTGTGCAGGAAAGCCCCGTAAAATCTGCCATGTGATTTTTCAGAGGCCAATGGCATCTGCATTTTTTTTTTTTTTTGGCATCTGCATTTTAAAAGTAGTGATTCTCTTTTGTAAAAGTAGAGATTTGGAAAGTACAGAGGATGGAAAGAAGATAATGAAAATCATTCATTTCCACTATTCCCTTGTGGTGTATATTCTGGCCACTTACTCTGTCTCTGCATGTGTATGAAATACAATTAAGGTCACATTTTGTTCCATTTCCTAGTCTATTTCACTTAATATCACACCATGAACATTTTCATCATGCCGTGAAAAATGCCTTGTAAAGATGATTTTTGATGAGCGCAAGGCATGTAATGTTGTATATAGATACACATAGCATTTCATCTTCTGGACTTTCTCACCACAGCCTCACAGAACATTCCCAATGGATCCGGTCAGCATTACAACCATAAGCAACTCATACCTGCACTCCAAGGGTTAAAGAGCAGGATAAAAGTCCCCAATGGGTAAGTCACGCTGTGACCCTGGCCCCGACTGATGGCTATTTTCAGAAAGTAGGGGCCAATGATGGCATTGGCTGGTGTGTAAAGGGAGACAGAGAGTGAATTGGAGTGAATGGTGAAGTCAGAAGCACTCCAGACATTTCCTTGTCGGGCCTGGGTGATGGAGAAGGTGGCACGAGTTCCCAGATTCTCCTTGGGTTCTGGTCCTGTGAAGGAGAGAATGACCCCAAAGTCAGTCTCAAAATCCATGGACATGATTCTAGTGGGACCTGAAGGACCCTCCCCTCCCTGCTTTTGGTTTAAGGCTTTCATTGTCACTCAGTGTCCTTGGATAAGTCACTTAAGATCTCTGGGCCTCTGGTTTTGTTGTTGTTGTTGTTATTTGTTTGTTTGTTTTTTAAGATTTATTTATGCTTACAGAGCTGGGGTATAGGCCAGAGGTGTGGTGGGTGGGAAGATTCACCAGAGACAGAGTGGGTAGTAGAACAGGCAGATCGACGAAGTACACTGCTGAGGAGAGCAGCGGGTGGGTCAGACGAGGTCTGCCACACCATGTGGGTCACCTCCAGGGTGGGGATCAAACTTGTGCTGCAGTGGCTTCGGAGAGCTTCATAATGTGGTGCTTTCCCATTGCGCCACCAGGAGAGCCCCTCTGGTATTTTTTTAATCTGTAAAATGGGACTCTAATAGTACTCATCTAAAGTTCTGTCATAGGATTAAATGTGTGTTGGCCCAATTACCTGTTGTGTATTTAAACTTGGTTGTTATCATAACTTTGATTTGCCAAGTTGGACAAAAAATCTTTCCTTAATAGCACTAATCAGGCCTGAGGGTTCCTAAGAGAAAAGGAGGAATATGGCTCAGAAAGGAACAGCAGGGACCTTGCCACGAGCTTCCCTTTGGAGCTGGTCAAACTCACCAGTATCAGCCACGAAGGTGATATTATCGAACCCAGGCTGAAAGGGTCTGTCAAAATGTAGTCGGAGGGTGAAGGACTGGCCCCGGCGCACAATTAGCCGCTTCAGGCCCATCTCCTTTGTGTGATGCTCCCTGTTGTTCTTGGATCTCTGCAAGTTGACTGAGCTGAGCACCAAAGCTTCCACTGGGGGAGAGGGGACAGTCACTGCCCAGCTGTGGCTCCCGGTGCCCAGGCATTCCCTGACACTTTTTGATCATCTCTGTGATGATTGGCTCTCACCTAGGTCAGACTCCTGTTCAGATCTAACCCTCCTGCCACTCTGCCCCCTGGCCTCACATCTCAACCTCAGAGGGTGATTTAGCAGCCTGGCCCAGAACTAGGAAGACCTCTGCATCTGCCCCCACCCCACTATCCACAGTGATCCAGAAGGTGAAACATGAATTTCCAGATGATCTCTTGTCTGCCATCACCTTGTCTTAGCTACTTTTCTTAACAGTCTCTCTAAAAATTACTCTAGTATCCTGCTAGGAAAAAAAAAAAAAAGCATATTAGAATTTTGTGTAAATTAAGTCGGTAGGCTGACTAGCAACTGGGATCTTACCAAAGGCCAGTCCCTGCTTTATGATGCTGGATGTGGGAGGGTCAGGATTACTTATTTCTGGCTTTCCAGGTGTATGAGGAGGGCACACACTGCTTCCTGGAGAGCACCTATCTGTGTCCACCTGGTACACAGTTTTAAACTCTCAGCATGGTGGGAGCCTATGGGCTCTCACCACTCCACTGTGAAAACTTAAGCAAATGACCTAATATATCTGACATCACTGTCTGTCCTCAGCTGAAAAATGAAGACAATGATATTCCTACTCCATACGGTTCACATGTAAAGACCTTAACAGAATGCCAAGTCCACCAAGGTACGCACTATTTGCTCAGATTAATCGGAGTTACTTAGTACCTATTAATACTACAATCTCCAATTTCATTGGCCAATTTTGCTGGTGATGTTTGTTGCGTTGACTGTTGACAACAATCCACTATTTCTTTCTTTTCTCTAGTAAGTTTATCAGTTTACCTCAGTGATTCTCAACTAGGGAAATCACTTCAGGGAAATGTCCCTGAAGGACATTTAGAAATGTCTGCAGTCATTTTGGTTGTTACAACTGGTTGCTATTATTGGTCTAGTGGGTAGAGGTCAAAGATGCTGACAAACAACCTCCCAGTGCAAAATGTCAAGTTTGCTCTCAGCCAGGTTTTGTGCCATTTGCATTTTGAAGTGCCACATCAGTTCTTTGTTTTTGCTAAATGAGTTTACTTTGGTAGTTTCAGCCCATCTTTTCTACCTGTCTAGAATTTTGGAATCCTAAGTATTTCATCCTAATGCTTTCTTTATCTCACCATTGTAGGATGGGTTAAATTGCCTTCCATGTCTTTGCCCTAGTCTTTGGTAACAAGATGATTCTAAGCCTTAGGATTTAAGTCAGAGGCAAATGGAGTGTTGCCAGAACTTTCTTCCTGGCTAACTGAGCCATGAGGAGTAGAGAACTCAGTACAGTTCTTCAACTAGCTGTTACCATATTAATTCTTCACATGAATAAGTTGGATTGGGGGTTTTCATTTCCTTCACTGTCTACAGTCAAATCCAGCTTTTATATTTGCATCTTTCCCACAAATTTGCAAACCTCTGACAGGACACAAAATTTGTCTGATGGCCCTTTAACTGTCCTCCTAGAAACAATCTTTGCCTGAGGTAAATTCAAAGGTGAATCACAAATAGTACAAAACTTTTAAACTTCTTGATGTAACTTTGGGCACTTAATTATTATGTTATTGAAACTGGGAAATTTAGGGTAATACCAGAGATAGAGGCCTTGGAGTTATTTAACAGCATTTTAAAAACATGATGTTCAATCCACTAGAAGTTTGTAAAATCAAGTTAGAGAAAAATGATCAATTTTTTAATAGAAAAGATCATAATATATCACATGTGGGACAAGCAAGTATAATTTTTATAATAATATAATAGTTTATTTTTACATCATTTTGTGCCTTTTTCCATCTCAGTTGTAATCCCCATGGGCTTCCCATCACC